AGCAGAGTCCATTTCCTGGGTTGTTATTGGTCTACTTAGTGTCTCAATGTCTTCTTGTTTCAACCTGGGGAGGTTGTGTGATGTCAGAAAGTCCTCCATTTCATTCAGGTTATCTATTTTGTTTCTATATAGGTGTACATAGTAATCTCTGATAATTTTGTATTTCTTCGGGGTCATTTGTGATTTGATCTTTTGTATTTCTGATTATGTTTATTTGGGCTTTTTCTTGGTCATTCTGATCAATCTTGTTAATTCTTTCAAATAACCAGCTTTTTGTTTTGTTCATGTTTTGTACGATATTTTTGTCTTCTGTATCCTGATTTGGGCTCTTATTTTGGTGATTTGGATTCTTCTATTAAAGTTGGAGTTTTGGTAATCTTCTCTTTCCTGCTCCCTTGGGTTATCTGTTAGGCTCTCCACTTGTGATATTCCGTTTTCTTGATATGTGCTCATAGAGATACAAATTCCCCTCTGAGAACTGCTGTCAGGGCATCCCAGAGGTTTTGGTAAGATGTTTCTTCATTTTCATTTATTTCCAGGAATCTTTCAATTTCTGCTTTGATTTCAGTGTTGACCCAGTAGTTGTTCAGCATCATGCTATTTTGTTTCCTGTCTTTGTGGGTTTTGGGAAAATGTTGTTGGTGTTGATATTTATTTTTATTCCACTGTGGTCTGAAAATATTCATGGCAAGATTTCAACCTTAAGGAATTTGTTTATGCTTGATTTATGGCCACAGATGTAATCAGTCTTGGAGTATGTACCATGTGGTGATGAGCAGAATGTATATTCTGTGGTTGTTGGGTGGAGTAATCTGTAGGTATCTATTAAGTCCATTTGGTTGAGTGTCAAGTTTAGGTTCTGGATCTCCTTGTTGATTTTTTTCCTCCATGATCTATCTAGAGCTGTCAATGGGGTATTCAAGTCCCCTGCTATAATAGTGTTAGAATCAATATCTTTTTTTTTTTGAGTTGGAGTCTCACTCTGTTGCCCAGACTGGAGTGCAGTGGCTGCTCCCGGCCACCGCAGCCTCGACCTGCTGGGCTCCGGCGATCCTTCCGCCTCAGCCTTCTGAGTAGAAAGAATTACAGGCACGCGCTACCACGCCTGGCTGATTTTTTAATTTATTGTAGAGATGAGGTCTCGCTGCCCAGGCAGGTCTCGAACCTGAGGGCTCAGGCAATCTACTCACCTCAGCCTCCCAAAGGCGCGGAATTACAGGCTGAGCCACCGAGCCCGGCTCAATATCTTTTTTTAGTTTACTTAGTAGTTACTTTATAAATGCTGGTGCTCCTGTGTTTGATGCATATATGTTTAGGATGAATATTTCTTATTGATGGATTGAACCTTTTATCATTACGTAGTGTCCTTTTGCATCTTTTAAATTTTTTGATAGCTTAAAGGTTGTATTGTCTGATATTAAGATTGTAACTCCTGCCTTCTTTTGTAATCCATTTGCCTGGAAACTCGTTTTCCAACCTTTAACTTTGAGTCTGTGTGCATTCCTTGAAGTGACATGAGTCTCCTGGATGCAGCAAATATTGGGCCATGTTTTTTTATCCACTCCTCTATTCTGTCTTTTCAGTGGTGCATTTAGTCTATTCACATTCAGGCTGATTATTGAAATGTGGTTGTTTATCCCTGTCATGAGGTTCTTATAAAGTTTTTCCTTTGTTTGCTTGTTTTCTTTTGGCTTTGGGTTTAATGAATGAGTGTGTTTTCAAGTTTCTTGTTGCACTATATTATCTACTGAGTCTGTGCTCTGCTGTTGGGAAGTGTGTGGTCAGTCTTTTTCTTCTTTCTTCTTTCTTCTGTGCTTAATATCTTTTTACATGTCTCCTGTAGAGCTGCTCTGGAAGCTGCATAATCTCTTAGGGATAGGATGTCTGGGAAGGATTTTAATTCTCCTTCACTGATGAAACTGAGCTTGACTGAATAGGAAATTCTTGGTTTAAATTGTTTTTCTTTGAGGACTTTGAATATAGGGCTCCAGTCCCTTCTTGTTTGTAGTGTTTTTGCTGATAGGTCTGTTGCTATTTTGATTGGTTTTCCCTCGTAGGTAGTCTGATATTTCTCTCTTGCTGCCTTTAGGATTTTTTCTTTTGTGTCTACTTTGTGTAGGCGAATTACCATGTGTCTAGGGTTTGGTCTTCTCATTTGATGTCTTGTGGGGGTTCTCTGTATCTCTTGTGCTTGGCTGGTCACATCTCTGGTGAGATGGGGAAAGTATTACTTCCTGAAATACTTGCTCCAACTTGTACTCCGTTTCCCTTTCTTCTTCTGGGATACCAATCAGGTGTAGGTTTGGCCTCTTGATATAATTGCACATCTCTTGTAGGCTTTGTTCTTTCTTTCTGAATCTTCTTTCTATGTTTTTTAATAGATCGGGTTAATTCCATGTTCTAGTCTTCAAGTTCTGAGATTCTTTCTTCAGCTAGATTAGTTCTGCTTTCCATGCTTATCATCTTGTTATTTATTTCCTGGATGAAATTTTTTATTGCCAAAATCTCTGTTACACGTTCTTTCAGTGTTGTATCTTGTCTTTCTTGAGTCCTATTCACTCTTTCCATCCATTCCCTAATCCCTGTCATATTCTGGGGACAGTCTTTGGTGACTTCCATTTTTTGGACTCCAAGGTCTGATTTTTCAGGAGTTTTGTCTTTGGTACACTTGAAATTACCTGAGGTCTTCCTTTGGCTCTTCCTTATTTGTGACAGGTCTCTTGTTTTTCTCTTTAGTTCTGTAATATTTAGTGTCAGTTGGAGAGGCATTTCCTTCTGATGTTTGCTCAGACCTCTATTCTTCTCTGATCTGGGCTCTTGATCTGTTCTATTTTGAAATAGGATGGTGGATGGGAAGCTTTGCTATCTCTTATAGTTTTCAAACTCAAATAAAGTGGGGAATGGGGTGCTAAGAATCAGATACTACTTGCAAATTAAAGTGTTCACTTATTGAGGTGTGTGTTCCCTGAGACCCACTCCCCACTACCACTCTATATGATGATACAAAGCAGAAACCAATCAAAAACAATTGAACACATGCATACATACTCCAATACAAACTGGAATAACAACAAAGCTAAACAAAACAATCAGCAACAAAAAGACCCCCAAGAAAACTAAACAGACACACACATGCCTAGCACAAAGTGAATAGAGAAGAAAAAACAGAAAGACCGAAGGGGGGAAAAAAGGGTGGTGGGGATTCAGGTCAAACCCTCACACGTCTATTGACATACCCCTTAAATTATAAAAAATGAATATAAAAAAGACCCAGAAGGACAAAAGAACAAAAACCAACAATACAACAAAATCGAAAGATAAACACTCAATCATTCACATAGACACACATGAACAGAAAATGACAAAAGAAGAAAGAAACAAAAAGAAAAGAAAAAAATTCTTTTGGAGGGGATGCAGATCAAACCCTCCCATACACATTCATGCACAAAGGAAAAATATTTTTAAAGTAGATGAACTAAGAAATAGTCAAAAAAATTTTTTTTAATTAAAAAATAATTGAAAATTTAAAAAACCAAAACCAACCAACCAACAAACAAAAACCTGCCCTCTTGTGGCTGTCTCTGTAATTGTTCCTCTAATCAGATCTTTCCTGCAGAGCTACCTCTTTCACTCTTTGCTCAGGGAACAAAGCAGGGAGAGAGGAGCGACAGTGGAGGTGGGTGGGGTGCAGGCTTCCCCTCCCACTCTGGTATGGTCACGGAGATCTCTTGTGGGGAGGTACAGGACTGTCTCTTCCCAGGTATGTACTCTCACTGGGGTGCCACAGCCAGACCTATCCTGGAATGGAGCTCTCTTATTGCAACTGATATCCCTCTCAGTCGTGACCCAGCTGTGTGGGTCTGACGCTGACGTTCAGAGGATTGCTGGGAAGGAGAGGGTTTAGGTGACCCCAGGACTCACTACTGATCTCTTTTGTTCTCTACTGGTCTGTGGTGAGCAAGTCGGAGCACTTTCCTGCCCTGCCTTCAATGGTGGTGGCATGCCTCTCTTGTCCTCTTCCGTGGGAGATTGCCTCTGGACTCTGTCCACAGCCCCTTCCAGCTCCCTGCCAGGTGGTGTGGGAACGCCTGGGGCAGTAGTGTCTCCCTGCTGCTTTTCCAAAGGAAACTTCTGTTTGTTTTGAAAAAGCAATGGTGCTCTGCTTCTGCCACCCGGGAAGATGCAGGGACGAAGTAGAGAAGCTGCAGCACCTGCTGTTGCACAAGGGCCTGGCCCCCTGCTTACGAGCCCCACTTAGTCTCTCCCAGCGTTTTCTTGCCGGGAGGGTTTGTTGATTTAAAAAAAGAACAGAAAAGAAAGAGAAAATGGCGCTCGGCTTCTGCGTCCCGGGAATCTCTGGGGTCCAAGCCCAGACGCTAGCCACCAAGAGAGCCCTGGCTGCTAGCTCCCTCACCCTCCCTCAGTCAGCCACTCGCATGCCTACTCGCTCAGGAGCACATACGCAAAACTTCCCATACGCTTACTCACTAACACAGGGACTCGCGTAGTCCAACTGGCTCGGCCGCCATCTTCCCCATCTCTCCTCCAGTTGTTTTTAAAGACTGTCTTTGTAAGGAGGATAGAAATATTTCTGTCATTATATTTGTTTCCTGTAATATTTCCTGAACCTTTTTAAAAAGTCAGAAGATGCTGGACTCGGTGGCTCAGCCTGTAATCCCGCGCTTTGGGAGGCTGAGGTGAGTGAATTGCCTGAGCCCGTGCGTTCGAGACCCGCCTGGGCAACTTGGCGAGACCTCATCTCTACAATAAATCACAGAAACTAGCTGGGTGTGGTTGCGCGCGCCTGTAGTTCCAGCTACTTGGAAGGCTGAGGCGGAAGGATCGCCGGAGCCCAGCAGGTCGAGGCTGCGGTGGCCGGGAGCGGCCACTGCACTCCAGTCTGGGCGACAGAGTGAGACTCCAACTAAAAAAAAAATAAAAAAGTCAGAAGATTATTTTTCAAATGGTCTGTTTTTTCCTCCACTTTGTTTCTCTCTAGAAGACACCAAAGAACCTGTTGGAGGTCTCAAAAGTCCTGATCTTGCCATTTGCATGATGACTTTACCTCAGCAGGTAGAAAAAGTAAGTCAGCAAATAGTGGGTAAAATTATTCAACTTTTATTTTGTGTAGTATTTAAATTATATGTAAGTGCATTTATTCATTGTTATTAAATACATCAAAGCAAGACTGTCTCTTAAAAGTGTGCTATGGATTGTGAAATTATAACCCTGCAGTGCAGCATTCTTCTTTCACTGAAATTCTACTATTACAGTGTAGTAACATGTCCAGTAATTTCAGGCAATGAAACTTTCATCTCATAAACTGCTTTAACAAATTATTTTTAAAAACAGTGGTGAAAATGTTCTTAAATATACAAATATAATTTTGCTGTAATATGCTTTTTCTGTACATATGGGAGTGCCCCCAAAATGTATATGCATTTAAGAGATGCTTCCTATTTACTACCTTTTGAAGTTGAATTAAATTATGTTAGCAATGTGTAGTATGATATCTGCTCCATTGTACTGCTACCATTTTCTTTGACTGTCCTGGCTGTTGTGTGGTGATGCTTAAATTCATTTGATTAACACCATCTTTTGTGTGAACGTCTTACTTAAGATGTGTATACATATTTTTGGCACCCCCGTATATGCACTTTTTGTATTATTTATTTTCTCAAAACTCTATACATTGAATTTCCAGGTGGAGCATAGACATTTCCAATTATTGTAACAATACTTTTAAAAAGAGTTCATTTTTCTGATTTTATGGTTGTTTTTACAGGATAATTAATAATCATGTAGTGACAGGTATATGTAATTTACAATATGTTTGTCTACTGATATCATCTTGTCTTTGTGCCTTAACAGACTCAATAGCTAAGGGCGATGGGCCAAAGGCAGTTTGCACAGTATAAAGATCTGGTCGTAGCAGGACTAGGAGTACATTTCAGTGTTTGATTTCTCACTTACTTGTAGACTGTTGTTACTCTGGTTAAGCAGGTGATATGAAAATTGAAATACTCAAGACAGTAATACCTATTTGTTTCACCTGTTTTCTTTTGGGTATTGTTAATTTTAACAGCATTCCACAGAAGACATTCAGTGTCAAAGGGAAGACCCGTTGGAGACAAATAGGGAGAAAAAATTGACTGAACAGAAAAGGTAAGAATGGATTGTAACTGACTTGGTTACCTCAGTGAAGCTTTCATCTTTTTCCTCAGAATTTACAATACATATTTTATGGTGGCATTATCAATCTGTGAAAGTGTAATTTCAATGTATAGTTATGGTACAAAATGATTTTTGGTAAATGTACTTCTACGTTATGGTAAAGTGAAATGAATAATGATATCTTAAATGCCTTTTGTTCTCTCATCATCAACCTTAACAAAATAAAATAAAGCCGTAAATAGACTGAAGTCCATGTAGCTGCCAATTAGAGAACCACCTGTCCACACTGATTCCTTTTTTTTTTTTTGAGTTGGAGTCTCACTCTGTTGCCCAGACTGGAGTGCAGTTGCCGCTCCCGGCCACTGCAGCCTCGACCTGCTGGATTCTGGCAATCCTTCCGCCTCAGCTTTCCAAGTAACTGGAACTACAGGCGCGCGCTACCACGCCCGGCTAATTTTTTGATTTATTGTAGAGATGAGGTCTCGCCAAGTTGCCCAGGCGGGTCTCGAACCCACGGGCTCAGGCAATCCACTCACCTCAGCCTCCCAAAGGCGCGGGATTACAGGCTGAGCCACTGAGCCCGGCTCTGATTCCATTTTTAATGAATCAAATAAAGAACTGTAACAAATCCTATTATATATAATCTTGCATTGCTGTGATATTACTATGCACCATCCATTAGGGCTATGATATATACATACTTTGCTGGCTAGTTTATTATTGCTTAAAGGAGAGCTGAAGGCAGTTGTTTTTTTTTTTTTTTTTTTTTGAGTCGGAGTCTCACTCGGTTGCCCAGACTGGAGTGCAGTGGTCGCTCCCGGCCACCACAGCCTCTCCTGCTGGGCTCCGGCGATCCTTCCGCCTCAGCTTTCCGAGTAGCCGGAATTACAGGGACACACAACCATGCCCGGCTGATTTTTGATTTATTGTAGAGATGAGGTCTCACCGCCCAGGCGGGTCTCGAACCCTTGGGCTCAGGCAATCCACTCACCTTAGCCTCCCAAAGGCGCGGGATTAACAGGCCGAGCCACCGAGCCCGGCTTGAAGGCAGTTTTAATGTGTTACAGTTTGGGCATGATTTCTTAATTTTTAGAATTTTAGAAGTTCTAGAAATTTAGAATTTTCTTGGATAAGAGAAGCAACATAATTATATTTTCTTTCTTTTCTCAGTACACAAGTTTGTTTAGTTTTTCTGTGGATCACTAACAAAAAATATATTTCATGTCATGTCACTTTACAAGTAATGTAGATATTTCTATTCATAAAAACTAGTCCTTAGGAAAATTACCCAAGAAGAGAAAAAACAAAAACTCACTAGTCTTTTCAGTTTCAAATGTGACGGTGGGCTCTTTAGTGTTCTGTGCAAAGTATCTGCCTCTTCCACAGGTAAAATTTGGGTCCTGGCTAACATCATGTATCTTTATTTTAGATTCCATTGTTTTTGTTACTGAGCAGTCAACAGTGTTTAAATCTGGTGTTAATTCGTTTAGATATATATTTACTCTGTTACTAATTGCTATGGAGACAAATGCAAACAGATTGCAATTATGAGCTAAGCAATACAAAAGATTAGAGAATGTTTAGACTTTTAGATGGCTGAGCTTTAGATCACCTGTACATTAGATAATGCCAAGAATATCTTGCTTTCTAATCGCCTATTAATTGTTATTTATAGCATGACTGAACCCTTTTTAAATCCTGAACATACCACTCCTCATTCATTTTGTGTGGATACGAGTTCAGAAATTTCTAGGTAAGAATTTTTACCTACTATACCATTTAAAAATAGTCATGTTTTACAAATAAATAAGGGAATGAAAATATACCTACTGTACCATTTTGAATTAATTGCTAAACATTTTGACTAAAAATTAAGAGAATAAGTGAACTCTTGCTTAAATAGGAGGAAATACAACACAGCTTTACTTCAGAAAAATTTTACATAATTAAAATCAAGTTCCTTGCTACTTGTTGAAAGCATAACCTGTTCTTAAAATAAGCAGATTGATTGTAATGTCTGTTTTTCATGGATTTGCCAAATAAAGTTTTGTTATTAAGCATGTAAGATGTCTGATGAAAGGCAAATATTTTTGCTGAATGGGAATGTGTGTAAACTGAAATAAATCTAAATGCAGTTTAATGAATTATTTTCTTTTTTGGAAACAGTTATCAATTAATTTGAATCTGCATGTTCCTTAATTTAGTTTATGAAGTTTATTTGCTTAGGAAATGTTGAGTATCTGCTGTATTTAAGGAATCATACCCAGCTATTATTCTGTTTATTTAAAAAACAAAACAAAACAAAAAACAGCTGGGTATAGTGGTTCATATCTATAATCCCAGCACTTTGGGAGGTTGAGGTGGAAAGATCACTTGACGCCAAGAGTTTGAGACTACCCTGGGCAACATAGTGAGACCCCCATCTCTATTTAAAAAAAAAAAAATTTAGCAGGGCATGGTGTCACTTGCCTATAGTCCCATCTACTTGGAAGTCTAAGGTGGGAGGATTACTTGAGCTTAGATCTTCAAGGTTGACCTATGATCGCACCACTACACTCCAGCCTGGATGACAGAGTGAGACCTTGTGTTTTAAAAACAAAAAACTTGTCTTGATCTGTTGTGTGTCTGTCTGTCTGTCTGTCTATCTATCTATCTATCTATCTAATCTAATCTAATCTAATCATCTTTCCCCTGTTTCTCTACCCCTTTCACCTCTTCCTCCCTATCCTCTCTGTCCCTAGACTGCAGTGCAATAGCCATTCATAGCTTATTGCAGTCTCAAACTCTTGGGCTCCAGTGATCCTTTAAAACCTCAGCCTCCTGAGTAGCTGGGAATACAGGTGTGCACCACCATACCCAGATAATTTTTGTATTTTTTTGTAGAGACATGGTCTCCCTGTGTTGCCGAGGCTGGTCTTGAACTCCTACATTCAAGTAATCCTTCCATCTTGTCCTCCCAAAGTGTTGGGATTGCAGGCATGAGACACTGGTGCCCAGCCTAAGTTTTCTTTTTCAGCCTTTTTTTTTTTTAATTTTGAAGATGTGGGGTATAATTCAGGAGCAATTTTGTATAAATTTAAACTCTGGAAAGGAAATGGTTGCAGTACTATTGTTTCACATTTATTTATTTATGTATTTATTATTATTATTATTATTTGAGTAGGAGTCTCACTGTGTTGCCCAGGCTGGAGTGCAGTGGCAGGCTCACAGCCACCGCAGTCTTCACCTGCTGGGCTTGGGTGATCCTTCTGCCTCAGCCTTCCAAGTAGCTGGAACCACCATAGCTGCCACCACACCCAGCTAATTTTTTTGCTTATTGTAGAGACGAAGGCTTGCCAAGTTTTACAGGCTGGTCTCAAACCCCTGGATTCAGGCAATCCTCTCACCTTGGCCTCCCAAAGTGCTGGGATTATAGGCGTGAGTCATCGTGCTCAACCTGTTGCACATTTAATAATGATAAATAGTAATTTGCTCTACCAATTAAATAGAATTAAACTTTTAAAAAATTCATTTTCTCTAGTTTTCTTAGCTATTCTGAATTATTAATTTTAGTCAAAAAACTTTTTTTAAAGCTAAATTACAAAGTCTATACACTTAGAATGATTGCACAGGTTTCAAACGCAAATGTGTACGGGCATTAGGCAAGTAAAATAAATGTCAACTATTCTGGGTTGTAAGGTCATAGGGAGGGGACCATCACTGACTAGACAGTACATGCCTCTTAATAAAGGCATAGAGATGAAAATTGTGCTGGTGACAGATGTGTCTGTTGGCTGATGGGTACTAGAAAGATAAGCTTTAGGGTTTAAATTTCCAGAAAATTACCATAATAACTTTTAAATTAGATGAAAAAAGTGGGATCAAAATATTTAGATCATAAACATTCAATTTATTTTTTATTGATTAATGTGTGTTTTTTATTTAAATACGTTCCATATAGTGCACAGATTTCTACATTTAAAGACAAATCTTCTTCAGTTCCACCTCTGGTATCAAATGGAGTTAATGTTGCTTCACAAACGCTTGCCCCAACACCTCGGAAGACCCAGAGAAATGAACGCAGGGCTCAGTTAACAGATTCTTCAGATTCTGTCAGGCAGATGCTCCAAGATGAAATGTTTAAGTTAGTTCAGGTGAGCACATCTCTATATAAGTAAATCTACACAAGATACATGATTAATAAACCTCCAGAAACGGACAAGTTAAAATTAAGTCACAAACATTTCTCTGCTTTGATCTTCATGTGTCATTCAAAAGTTAATAACTCTAGGGCCTGTAGTCTAGACTAAGCTACCTGCTTCTCACAAAGTCTTCTTTTTACTGAGTTCTTTGGGATGCAGCTGCTCATAAAAGTGAGGTGGGAGGTAATCAAACCAGACCAGTGGGCTCCTACTCGGAAGCAGAGTCTGCTTTCCAACCCAGGGCATCACATTATATTTCTTTTTCACCGGCCAAATTTTGGTTTTAGTTGAAACTGTCAGCTGCATTTCAAATTACTGTTCACTTTGACTTCCATCATCTTTTTCTTACCTGTCTATCCTTTTTTCTGTCTACCAACAATTTTCAATTATCTCCCTTTTTAAAAACATTAATTTCCCTCAAATCTAAATCTCTGCTCATTTGCTCTATATTCACTCATGTATTCTTTATGTGATGTAATAAAACATTTTTATATTGGTGATTCTTGGCACCAACTTTCTCTTTGAACTTAAAGGCCCTGATGAGAATACTTTTTTTAGTATATCCCCCTGTCCCATGAAACCTATTGAAACTGATTTTATTCTTATTCTCCCCATCCCTTTTTTCCCTTTTCTGTTTGGTAATACCACCTGTTCTACCAGCTTAAAGTTTTAGAAATATTTATCAAACTGTGTCTTATGAATCACTTGGGGACTTTTGTGTTCACTGTCCTGTGTCTTTAACATGTTCTCCAAATAATTCTGTTGCATACAAAAGATTAAAGAATCACTGTCTTCAAAAGTCATCTTTGCCTTATTTCACTACCCTTACCCAGTGTTTTACTATGCCCTCTTGTCTCTTTTGCCAGGACTTTATGTCATTGTAGCCACCTGCTATTTCTATATCTGTAGCCAACCTTAAATTCCTAGCATTTCATACTTTCATACTTGTATTTTCTAGGATACTTTCTGTAGATATTATTTTAATAATATTATTTACCTATTTAAAAATCTTAAGTAAATTTCTTTTACATGTTTATATGTTATATAATATCAGTATTTTGTTGTTGTTGTTGTTGTTGAGTCAGGGTCTCACTGTGTCACCCAGGCTGGAGTGCAGTGGCATGCTCACAGCTACTGTAACCTCAACCAGCTGGACTTGGGAGATTCTGTTGCTTCAGCCTTCCAGGTAGCTGGAATCACAGGTGTGTGCCACCATGCCCAGCTAATTTTTTGATTTGTTATAGAGACGAGGTCTCACCAAGTTGCCCAGTCTGGTTTTGAACTCCTGGACTCAGACAGTTCTCTAACTTCAACCTCCCAAAGTGCTGGGATTACAGACATGAGCCCCTGTGCCCAGCTTGATGTCAATCTTATTTTAAAAATATAAAGAGGCCATGCATGGTAGTTCACACGTGTAATCCCAGTGTTTTGGGAGGCCAAGATGCTAGGATTGCTTGAGTTCAGGAGTTTGAGACCATCCTGGGTAACATAGCAATACCTTGTCTTTACAAAAAATGAAAAACAGCCAGACATGGTGGCATGTGCTTGTAGTCCCAGCTACTCGGAAGGCTGAGGCCAAAGGATCACTTGAGTCCAGGAGTTCAAGGTTACAGTGAGCTGTGACTGGGCTACTGTACTCCTTCCTGGGTAAGAGAGCAAGACCTTGTCTCTAAAAAAAAAATTGTGTGTGTGTTTTTGAAGAGAGTGAAAGAAAATACACAAAAATGTCAATAATAGTTATCTTTGGAGGAAAGATTATGAGTGATGCTTATTTTATGTTTTAAACTTCTTTTTTTCCCCCCTGCAATAAGTGTGTGTTTCTTCTATAATTGAAGGGAAACTACATTTAAAAAAATTCTGCAGTGTTTCTCAGTTGATTTGTTTTCTCAAGTGCAGATTCTTCTGTTGGCCTTCAAAGACCTCACTGTGAGCCTTTACCTTCCCTCCTTTCCTACCTTACTCTCACAAGTCCAGTAGATCTCAGAGTTGGACCCTGGATCAGTAGCATCAGTATCACTTAGATTTTGAAAATACAAATTCAAAGGCCTGCATCCCAGACCTGTTGAATCAAAGTGAGGATAAGTGGCTTAACAAGTCTGCCAGGTGATTCTGATGCATGCTGAGGTTTGTAAACTACTGCACTAGCCTGTCTTCTCATTATCCCTGCTATAAATCTCCTGTTCCAGCCAATGTATATGCTTAGAGGTTTCCAAGGTTTTCTGTACATTAAAATAACATGGTCATCTTAACAAATACTGCTCCTGATTCACATCCCCGGACATTCTGATGTTGTTGGTATGGAATGTGACCTGACCATTTGGACTTTTAGATGCTTCTCAGGTGATTCTAATGCACAGCAAAGTTTGAGACCCACTGGTGCATGCCTTTCATCCAATCAGCCCCTCCAAGGGAATTTCCTGCTCTTCACCTGTATACTACTTTCTGCTCTCATGTTTCTTGAAAACTGTTCAAAGCACACTCATTCTGGGAATCCTTCTTTATCCCACTACATTAGTTCACTCTTTTGATTCCTGAAATGTTTATGCAAACTGATTTGCATAGTCCCAAGTCTCGTGTTAGTGTTCATATGCCTAGTTGACAGGGAACTACTTTTTTCTCTATATCTTTTTTAAAAAGTCTCTTCTGGCTATGCCTCCTGCTCAGCATTCATGAGTCTGACAGATACTGAGACAAAGGTATGTCTGTTATAGAATATTCACGTGATTACTGTTGATTCCTTAGATTGTTTTCATTATATTTTAAGATATCTCTTTGCTTTTTGTTTTATTCTAGCTACAACAGATCAACTTTATGAGCCTAATGCAAATAGTAGGATCATCCTTTGCTAACTTGCCAGATGTACAACAACTTTTACAGCAGTCTCAGTCTGTGCATTTGGAGGGAAACCAAATATCAAACCTCACAAGAGGATGTGGTGATGTTGGAGACAGCAGCAAAAATCTTGAGAGATTTTTCATTAAACGGCAGTCCGCAGAACAGTATACCAAAGAGCCTTGCCAGAGCAGCCCACACTACCATGAAGGAACTATCCAATCTGACCAAAATATTGATGGAAATATACAGGTAATACATGTAAAAATACTATTAATGTCTTAAGGTGTTCGACCATTGTTGCTTTTTTTGTTGTTCGAGTGAATAATTTTTAGCAGGTATAACATTCTACTCCCTCCAAAACATACTGAATATCTTTACAAAAAGGGAGTTTCTGATATATTCTCAACTTACATAATATGTTTTTTTCTTCCAGAATGTTCCACATGGAAATACTCCTTTATGTCAATTAGAAGTCCAGCCTCAGAAGACAGAACCAACTCCAGCATCTCAAAATTTACCACCCACTTCATTTTCTCCAGCTCCTGCTGAAAATACTCACTTCTACCTTTTGTCCGCACCTTTAGTTCAGAAGACACCTAGACTTATCCCATCTGCAAAAACTTGTAGTACTAGTGATGGTTTTCCTTTGCTTCATTTTCAGTCTAAGCATGAATTTAAGCCCCCTTTCTTAAATACAGGAAGAATCCCACAAGTTCCCTTCAGGCCCCTGCTACAACCAAGGGAGACTCAGGGCTTTTCTGATTCCTTCCAAACTGCTGTTCCACCGAGAGTACTACAAACTACTTCAATATCTCATTTGAATTTAAGCCAGTATAATACTGAAGCCATTAAAAGTGCAGTTGAGCAGAAGAAACAGGAAGAAATTGAAATTACAGAAATTCCTAAGCATGTGAACTTGGATCAATATGTTAGACAAGAAAACTTGACACCTCAATGGGATTCTTCAGTACGTATGGAACCAGAAAAACTAGTTGATGATAAGCCAAGACTCCTTGAGACTGCTCCTCACAATTCCTTTGGATTTCCATTATTACATCTACAACTTAAACCTCTGTATATACCTTCATCACCCTCAAGAGCATCAGTTACATTTCCCCCAATACCTATCAGAACTGTAACAGAAGAAAGATACCCAAGACTATCATTGCTTCATTCATGTCTGTCTCCTGAAAATATGGTAATGAATTTTTGCATGGTGATGCAAAAGCAGTATGCGGCACATTTTTAATACCTTAAGTACTATGTGTTCAATGAAAAGCTCTTGCACATTAAAAAATACGTCTATTATAGAAAATAGTGTATAAAAATCAGGTCTAAAATAATAATTATGCATTTTAAAGGTTTTAAGTCTTTCCATCAATAGTAGAATTTATTGAACTCCTTTATAAATATATGTTCTGCTCAGAGAAGAAAGAAGTAAAATAAAATTACCGAGTGTTCTCGTCCATGTGTGTGTAGAGAGTGAAAGCAAGTGATTGTACATATTGTTTGAGATTCCTCTCACCTTGGTCTGAGCCACTGCGCCCGGCCTCTTAGTTTAATTTAAACAAACTTTTTTCTCAGTTTTGTGTTTGTAACTGGGTTTGTAATTTGTCACTCTTAGTCTTTGTTTGTTGTAGTGCAAAAAGCCACAACTTATCCCACTTGAAAACCTCATTGCATTTAAACAAAGCCAACAGAAACTAACACATGATTTATTTGAGCAGGGTGATACTGGGCACCTTCAGCTTGTAAAGGTCAAAATGAAACCACCTGAAGGAAGACAAGGACAGGACAACAAAAAAAGGCAAGTTTTAAATGAAATTTTATTTGATAATATTGTGTACTAGCACATTTACTATTATGTACAATCATGTAGTCATAAAGACAGAAGTCATCTGGTTCAGCCATCTAGCCTATATGCAATGGCACGTTAAATTTCCTTGTCAAGTGTCATGCATTTGAACATATGTGTAATAAGGGAAATTACCATATTGTGAGACAGATGCTATCATTTTTTCCATTTTATTAAGGAGTTATTTTTCTACCATTCATAGACTAGAAGATTATTTTACGTGTTTCTATAATAGGATGAGCAGTCATCATTTGCGGTACAAATGTTTGGTATCATGCTGTATTCCATGTACAGTAGTCCCCCTTATCCCCAGGGATACCCAGTGGATGCCTGAAACTGCAGAAAATAGTACTGAAACCTATATATATATATGTTGTGCTTTTTTCTATAAATACAAACCTGTGATAAAGTGTAACTTATAAATTAGGCACAGCAAACGATTAACAGTAATAACTAATAACACAATAGAACAATTATAACTATACTGTAATAAGAGTTATATGAGTGTGCGGTCTCTCTTCTCTCTTAAAATATCTTTTTTTTTTTTTTTGAGTCGGAGTCTCACTCTGACACCCAGGCTAGAGTGCAGTGGCATGCTCACAGCCACCGCAGCCTTGACCTGCTGGGCTCAGGTGATCCCTCTGCTTCAGCCTTCCAAATAGCTGGAACCACAGGCATGTGCCACTACACCCAGCTAATATCTTGATTTATTGTAGAGATGAAGTCTCACCATGTTGCTCAGGCTGGTCTCAAATCCTGAGCTCAGGTAATCCTCTCATCTCTGCCTCCCAAAGTGCTGGGATTATAGGCGTGAGTCGCCATGCCTGGCATATCTTCTTGTACTGTACTCACTTAGTTTTGGACCACAGCTGAACTCTGAAAACTGAAACCTTGGAAAGTAAAACTATGGATAAAGGAGAACTACTGTACTATTCAATACTTTTGAACCAATATTCATTGTTATGCATCTTACCATATTCTCCAGAGTCTTCTAGTAAGAATGAGACTAGGTGATGTAAATTATTTCAGGTCCCTAAGAAATGTGTATGTAAAATGCAGAACTGTGACTTCTAATGAAGAGCACTTCTTATATGGTTTTTTATCCATAATTCATCTTCCATACATGTATTGATTGACAGATTATTAGAGTCTAGAAGATACTTTCAAAATTTCACATTTATCAAACTATAAAATCTATTCTCAGTACTTTCTTTCCAGAAATGGTCCCTTCCTTCCATTTTTTCCAGGTATTTCCTCTTCTAAGTAAGTATTCCCCTTAACATTTTGAGACCTCTTTTTCTCTGCTGGGATTTCACTGAGGTGACTAAGTGTGCTTAATGTCTTAAGATAGGCAAATGTGGAGGTATCTGATAAGATTTCTGGTACCAGCTTCAAATATGTGGAAAAGAAAGTTTGAAAATGTGTGAAAGGTATTACCCTATCCTGAGATTTCGGTGACTGACACAGAATAGTTCAGTTCATATATCTTTGATTTTTTTTGGCTTATATTTGCTTATATACTCAGGCATAATCTCTTGGTAATGAAATGCTGTTGAGAATAATTTATGAACATAATTTTGATAACTGTCTCCCTATGTAGCATGATACAAATGAAAGTCAGATGTTACTATAATAGTAAAAAGTATGTTTTATGCTATTGCGTTTAACAGGCAGAGAAGAGCTGAGAAAGAGTTGAAAGAAAAAAGATCTGAGGAATTGAGGAGAAAATCAAATGTGACTTTTCGATCAGAGGATTCCATCATTGATGATGATGATTCAGAAACTGTTAAAAAACCCAAGGTACAGAACAGCTACTATCGATTGTTCCCTGATTTTTATGAACACAGAGTTTGGTATGTCTCTGTGGCTAGTCTAATTGCTGGAAGCTTCTGATTGTGATTAGAAGGATGATATTCAGTACATAAATCCCTGCTGCTTCCCTCCATAGAACAGTAGACATATAGTTGAGAATGTGAAAAGCAACTTGGTGGCAAATCAAAAACTGCATTTCAGAGCATCTGCCTTAGTGACTTTTTAATATTTAAAATCACTCTTTGCTTTTTTGTCTAGGATACCTTAATGCATGTTATTTGGGCATCTTCTAGTATAGTTTCTGCTATCTTTGAGGTTCCTTAAGGATTTTCCAAACATAGTTTTGTTGTGTAACCGATATTTCAAGTCAGGTCTTTTTAAACATACCTTCTAAATTTGGTGACTTTTTAGTAGCTATTTTTGCAACAAAGGCTTAAAATAACAGAAACATAAATTTGTTTACACTGATTTTTAAAAGGCATGTTTTTTCAGTAAGCCCTCGAGCATGTCTGGAGGCACTGAAAAAAAAATGTTTATAGAGTCCAATTAAAAGTTTTGACAGCATGGGGTGCAATTTGAGTATCAAAGCTACTCTGTGTAGAGAATTACACATAGTAACTTTACATACATTAAACTGGTAATGGTCTTTTTTTCTTGAGTTGGAGTCTCACTTGGTCGCCCAGACTGGAGAGCAGTGGCACGTTCTTGACCACCCAAGCATTGACCTGCTGGGCTCAGGCTATCCTTCTGCCTCAGCCTTCCAAGTAGCTGGAACTACAGGCATGCGCTACCTTGCCTGGCTAATTTTTTGATTTATTGTAGAGATGAAGTCTCACCAAGTTTCCCAGGCTGATCTTGAACGCCTGGGCTCAGGCAGTCCCTTTACCTTGGCCTCCCAAAGTGCTGAGATTATAGGCTTGAGCCACCACACCTGGCCAATAATGTTCTTATTTATTGGTTGATTTGTGGATTTCATGAGCTCTTTTGTAGAGTTACTTTGATAGAATAAGTAGTTATATCTAGAATGATAGAAATTAAACCTTTACCTAAGAATTCAACAGTCTTCATTGCTATTGAGTTAATCATAAATTAATTGTTTGCAAATTTATCTAGGAACAAGAATATTGTGATTTCCAGCCTGTGGATGACTTCGAAATTCCTTTTGGTAGGTATATGTATGATTAATGTTTATGTATAAGTTTAGAGTTAAAAATCAACTTTTTAGAAATATTTTCAGGAAAAAAGTGAAACTAAATTATGTTCATGTTTCTTTGACAAGGTGTGTATGTTTGTTTTGGTGTGTTATTCAATAGAGCAGTGACTGATGAACTATGACCTATAGGCCCGATCTAGACTATGCCTGTATTTTTAAATCAAGTTTTATTGAAAGAGCTATGCCCATTTGTTTACATACTGTCTATGATTGCCTTCACACTGCAGCGTAGTGGAATAGTTGCAACAGAGACCATATAGCACACAAAACCTAAAACAGCAGTCCCCGACCTTTTTGGCATCAAAGACTGGTTTCATGGAAGACAGTTTTTCCATGACTGGGGCGTCAGGAGTGGGATGGATCACCAGGCACTAGATTCTTATAAGAAAAGCACAACCTAGATCCCTCACATGTATAGTTCACAGTTAGGGTTCATGCTTCTATGAGAATGTAATGTCCCCCTGATCTGACAGATGGTGGAGCTTCACTTGCCTGCCTCTTCTGCTGTGTAGCCTGGTTCCTACTGGTCCGCTGCCCAGGGATTGGGTCACCTAACTTAAAATATTTCCTAATTGGCCGTTTACAGAAAAAGTTTGCCAACCTCTGCAGTAGAGCAATGCAATTAATTAGAATCTCAAATAAGATATGAGATCTAAAGGAAAATTATGGAAGAACATGCCTAGGTTTGAATTCATTATAGAAAGTACATACACATTAAAAATAGAGTTATCAGATGGGCGTGGTGGCTCATGCCTGTAATCCTAGTACTTTGAGAGGCCAAGAAAGGTGAATCACTTGAGGCCAGGAGTTCGAGACCAGCAAGACCTTGTCTCTACAAGAAATAATTTTAAAAAGCGGGGTGTGGTGATACATACCTGTGGTCCTAGCTACTCGAAGGCTGAGGCGAGAGGATTGCTTGAGCCCAGGAGTTCAAGGCTGCTGTGAGCCATGATTGTGCCATTGCACTCCAGTCTGGATGACAGAGTGAGACCCTGACCGAAAAAAAATGAATCAGACTGTGTGTGGTAGTTCACATCTATAGTCCCAGCTACTCAGGAGGCTGAGTCAAGAAGATCGCTTGAGCCCAGAAGTTCTAGGCTGCTGTGAGTTATGCTTGCACCACTATACTCCAGGCTGGGAGACAGAGCAAGACTGAATCTTAAAAAAAAAGAATCAGGCTGGCTGCAGTGGTTCACACCTGTAGTCCTAGCGACGCAGGTACTCCGGAGGCTGAGGTGGGAAGATCACGTGAGCCTAGGAGTTGGAGGCTGCAGTGAATTAGGCTAGCACCACTGTTCTGCAGCCGGGGTGACATAGTGAGACCTTGACTCAACAAACAAAAAAGATAAAAGAATTACTTCAGAAAAGAAAACTCACTTACAGTCAGTGATTTTATTTAATTGGTCAATTTATTTCTTGCCCCTGAATGTATGTGATCCCTCCTTCTCCTTAGCAATTCACACACACATTCTCTCTCTCGTGTTCTCTCTTGTGCTTAGAGAGCCACTCATGCTAATAGTTTCAGCTCTTAAATTTTTTGATGATACTCAAATATATAATCCCTCTCATCTTTATTTTCTGCTTTCACCTTAAATTCAAACTTTCCTGATCTCCATTCCCCCGGCATTCACTTCGACCCTGCCCTCCCTGCCCTGGTTCTCTGCTCCTTTCTCAGTGCTACTGCCCTGCATCAGGCCTCAGCTTCCATAAACCAAGTAGTCATTTCCTAAGTCACCTGCTTAACCTCAGTCTCTCAGCTTTCTAATCCATCTGCCATTCATCTTTCCTACTCACTTGCCTTAAAACCACTTTCTGGTCTTGACTGGGCTCAAGCAATCCTCCCACTTTGGCTTCCCAAAGTGTTGAGATTATGGGAGTGAGCTACCATACCTGGCCTCCTCTTTTTCACTCCTCTTTTTTTTTGCCTTGGGGTCTCATTCTGTCAGCTGGAATACTGGCATAAACACAGCTCACCACAGCTTCCGCCTCCTGGGTTCAGGCCTGAGCTCCTGCCTCAGCTTCCCAAGTAGCAGGGATTATATGCTTGCATCACCATGTGAGTGATCTCAGTCTCCAGCCCCACCCTTCTCCAAAGGCAGGTGAGTTGGGGGCTGAGAGTTCTAACTCTAACCATGTGGTTGTTTCCTCTGTGTGGTTCCTTCAGGCCCCATCCTGAAGCTATCTGGGGGCTTCCCAAGGGTCATCTCATTAGTATAAACTTAAGTATTATCAAAAAAAGCTCATTTTAATAACAAAAGATACTCCTACCAGGAAATTTCAAGGATCTGAGGATCTCTGTGCCAGGAACTGGGGACAAAGACCAAATATATAGTTTTTATTATACTACAATGTGCATAATTGATACTCTTACTCTTCCTGTCTTCCTGGGTGATCTCCCAGGAAAATACATGTCAAAACCAAAACTCCCACTGTAGACTTTGGTCTTGGTTCTATTTCCTGGGAACTTTTCCACTTATGTAGAAATTACCTCAAGCATGGCATATGAAGACTAAATTTGTTATCTCTACCCTTCCCCAGCTGTTTTTTTCTCTTGTTTTCTGTCTCCATTTGTGTTAATACCAACCTAACCCCAAAACACATATTATTCTAAATTCTACCTTCCCCACCCTCGTCCAGTAACTAATTCTTGCCTACCTTACCTCCTTTGTAATTCTTAAATTGTCCTCTCTCTTCTATCCCTCAGTGTTACTAAGTGCTCGTTTAAACTGCTGTGGCAAGCCTCATCTACCTGATTGCATTACTTCAGTTTTATGCATGCACTGGCTGAATGGTTTTTTACTAGAACATCAGTCCAAACACATCACTTCTCCACTTAGCTTTTACTGGGTCTTCATTAGCCAAAAGAATATCTAGATTTCTAATCTGGACATAATGTCTTCCACAGTATTGGCATTGATTCTACCATGTCTTGGAGATTTAACTTATATACCACTGCATTCCTGAAGTCTGTTTTGATAACACATTAACACCCCACCCCGTATTTCTCTTCCATTGAGTTAGGTACTCTGCTTCTGAGCTCCTGGTAATATGTTAGCTTCTCATTGATCACTTCCAATGTTTTGTTATATTTAAGAAATGCTGCAAAATGATAATACTTCAGCTGGATTGCATTTCATGGCCTCTGTAAAAAAGAAAATTATAGGAAGTCAGGATGCAAGTACAAACACAGAACCAGGTAAAATGCTGTTTCGCTTTTTTTTTCATTCGTATATTTTGACATATTTAAAATATCTAGGCGTTTTCTTTAAGGCAGTGATTTAAAAATTTTAAATTATGTGTTTTTAGTAACTCATCCCAGCTCTTTCTCTCCAACGCTGGTATATACTTTAGAAGTTGAATTTATGATAACTGAAGTAAAACATAATAGATACTTTTGTTCAGAACTGCCATGGACTACATTCTAAGTGAATAGAAAAAGTATTTTGAAATTGGATTCTCTGTGTCATTAATTACCTTCACTGGTATTGCATGCCCAAGTCTGGGGCTGTGGCTAGTGAAGTCGAGCTAGGAAGAGAACTGGATTGGGTCACTGTGGGAGGCATATGTAACTGTGTCCAGGTGTAGATGAAATAAGTGTTAGAGGATCTATTATTTGGAATGTTGTCTGAACAACTCCCTTATTAATGTAACTAATCATTATGAGCAGATTCTTGAAAAGTGTTCTGTTTATTGTAGCATAGTAATTCCTTTTTATGACTTTTAGTAAGCAATTTTTTAAACTATGATCACTTTTAAGTGATTTTTAAACCCTCTCTAATTTTTCTTATTATAAAATAATATTTACTGGTATTATTTTACTTTATTTTATTTTATTTTTATTTATTTATTTTTTGAGTTGGAGTCTCACTCTGTCGCCCAGACTGGAGTGCAGTGGCCACTCCCGGCCACTGCAGCCTCCACCTGCTGGGCTCCAGCAATCCTTCCACCTCAGCCTTCCAAGTAGCTGGAACTACAGGCATGCGCTACCATGCCCAGCTAATTTTTAATTTATTGTAGAGATGAGGTCTCGCCAAGTTGCCCAGGCGGGTCTCGAACCCGCGGGTTCAGGCAATCCACTCACCTCAGCCTCCCAAAGCGCGGGATTACAGGCTGAGCCACTGAGCCCGGCTACTGGTATTATTTTAAAAATATATGATCATTGTAGAATATTTGGATAATATAGCAAGTTATAAAGAAGATGAAAATTAACTATAATCACACCACCTGGCAATAATATTTTGGTATTGTTTTTCCTTTCAGGAAAGTCTTTTGTGCATTTTACATAGTTAGAAACAATATATAGTACAGATGTCTTTCTTTACTATCTGAACTTAGATTGCCCAGATATTATCACTGTCTTCCCATACTTTTCCCTGAGAGTTTAACCCTCATCAGTCTCGGTGTTGTTTTTTTCCAAGTACCTTGGGACACTTAAATTATAGTGTACCTCTAACATATTGTTTAATTGGTTATTTGCATCATAGTGCATGCTTGCTGCAATGTTGAAGATAATTCGTATCTAATACATTCAGTATTACTGCATACTACATGGAAACTAATGAATCAAATAAATGTTAATTAAAAAGTGATATTTGAGCCAGGCTCAGTGGTTCAGCCTGTAATCCTGCGCCTTTGGGAGGCTGAGGTGAGTGGATTGCTTGAGCCCGTAGGTTCGAGACCCGCCTGGGCAACTTGGCAAGACCTCATCTCTACAATAAATCAAAATGAGCCGGGCTTGGTAGCGTGCGCCTGTAATTCCAGCTACTTGGACGACTGAGGCAGAAGGATCGCCGGAGCCCAGCAGGTCGAGGCTGCGGTGGCCAGGAGCGGC